TATATTAAGTACAAGAAAACTCTTTTTCGATGAATGTTTTCATTTTTTTTAATTTTAATTAGAAACATTTATTAAGTTTTAAATCTTTTAAAATTTTGTATTAATTTCACCCTTTTAGATGATATTATTAAGTGAAAACTATATTTACTAATAAATGGAAAATGTGTATCAAGTGCTCATTTTTTAAACTTCGGGCGGCCATAAACGACATTATCAGAAAATAAGATCGATAATTATAGTAAATTTTAATTCAACATTTCTAAAATTCATTAAAACATTAAATTACAGGGAATATTTTCCTAATTTTTAAAGATTACTGAGTATTTAAAAACCATGTAAAAAAGGAGCTTAGGTCATTTTCTTAAATTATATTTTACAGATAAAATCTCCGTATAACAACATTAGATGTCTCATCAGGCTGTCAATACGTCGGATATTGTCGGATTAAAAATACTGCTACTGCTGGCTTAAAAAATGCATTTCCCTGATATTTAAACTCAAAGTAATTAATATTTGTTTCAAATCAGATTAATTATACTTTAAATCAGCTAATATTCCTCAAATAATGTTTCAGAAAAGTGAATTTTATTTTTGGAAGATTTTTTAATAAAGAAAATTACATTGCAATGAAAGACAACTAAAATAAGGCACTAATCAGCTATTTTTGCAAAATCCAAACAAGAAAAATTCTTCCATTGAATTTAAATTAGTTTTTGAAATACAGCAAAGTATTTTGGTTATTGCAAAGATTAAATTGAATCTATTAGTTGAAAATAAAATTAAAATAAAAGCTTGAAGAAAGATTTTCATTCTTAAAAAATCATTTTAAACCTTTAAATATAATTTAACTTTTAATTTTAAATTTTATCATTTTTCTAATTTTTTATTTAATATTATTTTGTGCGGTACTTATTGTTAACACGTTGAAACACCGGTTGGCATCTGATCACCGAAGTTAAGCAACGTTGAACCTGGTCAGTGCCTAGGTACATGACCGTTCGGAAATACTAGTTGCTGTAAACTTGGACGTGCGGATGGTGCAACGGATAAAGGCTCGGAATAAAAAGTCGGAGAGCCGATTTCGGATGACAGACGGGTTCGTTATATATTCATTTACGTGCAGATGAATTTGAGAACGATATGAATTCACTCCCAGCTTTGACTTCTTTATTTTTTTTTACTAATGTTGAACCAATAAAAGGTCCAAGAGCCACTCTTGGTAGAGGGTTACTATGTGATGTCGTATTAGCATAAAAAAGGGCAAGAAATGAAGTTCTTGGGGCTCTGCAGGAATGATAATGGCTAACTCTAGACTTGAACATGTCAAGATTTCATTAGTGAATAAAATTTCAGAATTTAGTCGGAGATAGAGAGCGGATGTAGACTTTAGAAGGAACCGGAAACCCAATCTTAGATAAAAGCAGAACATAAACCTCTGCTCCTGTACAAAAGACTGGGGAGGAGTGTGAACCGGTCTATAGGCGAACCCATCTACTCTTTGTATTAGAAAATAATTATTACCTCTAAAAAATTCTTACAATTCAAAAATGTTTCGTCTTTAAATAACTTGAAAAGGCCTTGATAAGTCGTAAAAAACAAATCAATCAAAATAGAGTACTGCCGCCATATATAGGCGGGAGCTTCACAGTCTTCCCTTTCCACTCTCGATAGACTCCAAAAGCGTCAGGGCGTCCTTGGCGGTGACGAATTATTTTCCTCCCTGCAACCCCTTTCCCACAGCGAGAAGTCACAAGTCTTTCACTTCTCTATTGCTATTTCTATGGAAAGTGTTCAGATGGACTACACTCTTTAGTTCCAACAGTCCTAACTTTCAAGACTATGCCATGCACAATTTAGCGAACCACTCTCATTCCATATTCCCCTGGTGAAATGCAAGTTCCACTCAAGTGGCATCTTTCTAACACTTTCGAAAGTTTTGTTAAAAATCTTGCATTTCTTGCATCAGCGAGTAAGGGCAAAGATTAGTATAGGGATTTTTAGCGATTTTTTATTTTTGGCTTTAAAAATACATTGTTTTGGAAATTCTTGCAAAATTCAAATAATTGAAGAATTTTAATGAAATTTTCAGGACTTATTTACAAATAAATGAAATCGTTTTTGAAATTTTTTATTATTAGAAAATATTGGTAAAAAAAAAAGATTTATATATTTTACATCTGTTACCCCCACTTACTTAATTTTCTGAAATTTTGAGAAATTAACATTTCAGTTTCCTCATATTTATATTAGTTAAAAGCAGGTCTCCTTGGGGGATTTAAATCACCAATTTTTTTTCCCAAAATTTACTCTGAATCGTAAAATAAAAAATGCAATATGACTATGACATTATTTAATTAGAAAACCTTTTAATTGTTTTTATAAATAAGATATATTAAGGACAAGAAAAACTGTTTTTCGATGAATAATGTTTTCATTTTATTCTAAATTTTAATTAGAAACATTTATTAAGTTTTAAATCTTTTAAAATTCTATATTAATT